GTCTGACTGTCTCCGAACGGAGCCTTCCAAGGGACCATTGCCCCGTCCACCTTTTTCTTTTTGTTTGGGGGGGAGGGCCCGGTTCCCGGTCCGGGTCCAAGCCTGTCCGCCATCTTCCGTGGGTGGGCCGCGGGAACTCCGTCCCGCTGCCTGATCTCCTCCTCGATGGAGGCATACTTTTGTGCCCGAGCCAAAACCTCGGTGTAGCTGGTGCCGGGATTCCTCCTCAGGTCCCGGTATAGATCCCCTGTGGCCAGCGCACTGGTGAACATGTTGGTGGCCAGACGTTCGTCCAGATCGTCGACCTGCAGGACCTCGTCCCTCCACCTTACCAGGAACCTAGCCAGCGGTTCGTCCCGCCCTTGTTTGATGTGGGCAAGAGCCGTGACGTCCTTCCTGGGGGTGGTGCTGGCAGCAAACTGCGCCATGAACTGCTGGGAGAGCTGTTCGTATGAGTCGATGGTGCCTGGCCTCAACTGCCCGAACCATTCTTGCGCCGGCCCCCTGAGGGTGCTGAAGAACAATCTGCAGATGGCCTCGTCTGACGCTCCCAGCATGGATAGGTTCCCTTGGTAGCTCATCAGATGGGCCTTGGGATCGCCAGCCCCATTGTACACCAAGTTGCCCGGGGGCCTGCAGTCCCGGGGAATCTCGACGCTCATCACCCGTGGAGTAAAGGGAGATGTGAGAGAGAAAGAGGGTGTAGCCGAGCCAACGTCCGCCCGCCTATTCATCTCGGCTATCTGCCTTTCCATGGCCTCCAACCTTGCATCCTGTGCGGCCCTTCCGGGGGACACAGGGGGCGCGGCTTCGGGGACGGCATTCTGCTGAGCGGCCACAGCACCGTGCGGCCGCCTAAAGATCTGCGCACCTCGCCGTTGGAAACGTCGTCCAACGGTGTTGATCCTCGGGGTCTCGTCTCCCCGCGGGATTTGGCGGGGGACTGATGGTGTGTGAGCCCTGGATGCAGCGATGCTGACTCTGGTTCGCCCTCCCGTTCCACGGGAGCCTGAACCCCCACCTAGCCGCTCATGGACTGAGGGCCGGTGGTCGCTGGATCCTGTCGTATCGTCATACGACTGCATGCGACGTATGGGAGAGAGGGGCGTTCGCTGGGTACTTGCAGAGTACACCTGGTTTTGGGCCTCCCTCTCGTCTGCCAAGCGACGCATGGTGTCTGCGAGTTCCCGCATGAGGCGAGGATCCTGCCTGGCCTCCAGAGGAATGAGGTCAGTGATACCCCCGTTTCCCCCGGAGGTCCATATTGTTGCGGATAGTTCCGAGTTCTGGCCGCGATTCCGGCGGCTTGATTCCAGACGCTCGGAGAGATCACGCTGATTGTTGCTTCCTGACATCGTGTTTGCTGTAGGTAGACTTAGTAGCTGCTTGGGAGAGTTTCTGGAAACTTTTTGCTCAGTTTCCCACAGACGGCGCCAGTGTTGAGGTTTATTCCTTCAACCCGTGGACCCAACACGTAAGCCCAAAGGTTTCGAGTGGAGTGAGTGTATGAGTGTCTAGCCCAACAACTATTAGATGAATCAGGAGACAACAGTGATAGCAGGCAATGTAAATAGGTATTATTAACTCCGTAATAACTCCCCTAAGTACAATCTACTCGCTAAACAAGGCACGTCGGCCGTTCGTCTTACAAGGCACTTAGAAATGCTGCAAGTAAGAATGCTGAAGCTAGTATGCTAAGAATAGAAAGTTGCCAACCCTTTACAATGAAATAAATGCTTCTATTTATACCCGCCAATGGGCAGGTGGCTGTACTGACGTGGCAGCCTGTGGACCGCTGGTGTCCCAACTACCAAATCTTTAGCATTAAATGCACTTCCCGCCAGAATCTAGGTTTCCCGCCGGAATAGTGGGGACGTTCGTCCACCCGGGAAGTGAGTTGGATTCCTCCAAGTGACCCTTGAGGGATATTGGCTGTTCGTCTCCTGGCCTTGATGGATTCTCACCATGTGGGCTGGGTCTCCTCCGATGACTATGGGCTTGCTCAGGAGACGTTCGTCGTCACCCCTGATGGCCCGTGGCTCCGCTCCTTGTCCCTGCTTAGACGTTCGTCGGGATGAGCCGCTGGGCCTGAGTCCTCCAACACCAGACGTTCGTCCATGCTTAAAGTACATGGGCCTGTGGGCTGGCCTAGTTTCTAGCTGGACGGTCGTCTGGCAAAATGGGTTAGTGGGCCGGACCTCGGCTTGGGCCCTTAACCCAACAGGAAGGAAGGCCCGGGACCGGCCCGGGTAGCCACCGGGTCCGGGCCGGGCCTCCGGTTTGGTCATTTTTTTTTTTGCTTTCCTAACCCCCCTCACCCCCCCCCCACCCCCCAAACCCCTCCTAACCATCAAGCCCAACCTGGGTCCTGGGTAACCCCAAAAAGTGGGAAAAAAAAAAAAAAAAAAAAAAAATCGGCCCGGACCCGGGCCCGACCCTGCCGGGCCGGTTCGCCAAATACAAGGCCCGAGCCCCCCCCCACCGGGCCTAGAGAACCGGGCCGGTTCCGGGCCCGCACAGTAGTGGGCGGGGCCGGTCCCGGGCCAGGCGGCCCGAACCGGGTCCATGACTAATGGGGAGAGTTCTACTAAGAATCCCTCCTAAAATGAGAACTCATATACAGGGGTGGATTCGGGCCGGGTCGGGTCCAGGCCTAGGCTCGGGCGGGCCGCTGGTTCTGAATAGTTGGGCCCGGGACCGGCCCGGGTACCTACCGGGTCCGGGCCGGGCCTCAGGCCTCTTTATATTTTTTTTTTGCGTTTTCTAATTAACCCCCGACCCCACCCTCACCCCCACCCCCAACCCCCCAAAGCCCCAGCCCAACCAGTTGGTATTAAAAAAAATGAAAAAAAAAAATTGATTTCGGCCTGAACCGGGCCCGAGCCCGGCCGGGTCTCATTTTGGCAGAACCGTGCCCGGAACCGTATCCCCCTCAGGCCGGGTCAAAGCCCGGTACCCGGACTGGTGAACCGGGCTGGGCCCGGGCCCGCACAGTAGCGAGCCGGACCGGTTAGAGGTGGGGAAAAATACCGAAATTTCGGTATACCGGACTTACCATATCGAAAAATACCGAATTTACTGAAGTGTTTGGTATACCGACACTTTTGGTACGGTATGATACCGTACCGAATTACTTCGGTATGGTATCGGTATATATTTTGGAAATAAACGGTATACCGTTATACCGTCATACCGTAATTCCAAAATTTCTTTAAAATTATAAAGATAACTAGAAACACAACATTAATTCAAGGATAATGACTTTATATCCATGTTTCTTGAATTATTTATACTTTTTGTTGGAGATCGATGTTATTTCAAATATATTTATGTTGTTTAAATTATTATTTTAGCAGAATGTGTTGTTATCTTCATATATCATGTGTTGAAGTATCCGTACATATTTATAATATTTTTTTGTTCAAAGTTGAATAGAACACAAATAGGTTATCATTGGTATTTTATAATTAATTTCATTAATAATTTTAGTATATCACTATTAACACTGATTTTCTATATTTCATTTGATATATAATAATTTGATATTAAATCATGATAATTTACCGATACCGTAGCTTACCGTACCGAAATTTTGGTATACCGAAACAAGGTATACCGAAATTTAGGTATGGTAACGGTATGTATTTTTGCATACCAAAAGTTTACGGTATGGTAAAGGCATGGGATAAAATCTTCGGTATACCGTACCGAACCACCCCTAGGAGGCTAGGACCGGTTCACGAGCCGGGTGGCCCGACCCTAGTCCACCACTACTCATATATCAATGAAAACTCTTAATTTCGAACTTTGTTATATCAAATCAAGGGTTATAATCAACAAAGAGACATTTTTGTAATAATAATTTTATGATAATTACAAAAGTATCTCGTTTGAATTTTGAATAATTATAAAACCGACTCCATGCATCCTAACAATGATTGAATAACATAAAAGATTATGATTAAAAGTTCTCATTATAAAAAGTTCTCATTTTAGAAGTTCTCACTAGAACCCTCCTCATATCATATGACACACACTCAAACTAGGGATGGACTCGGGTCGGGCGGCCCGACCCGGAACCGGCCCGGCCCGGTCACTGTTTGAACCGGCCCGGCCCGGCGGCCCGGCCCATGGGCGGTTCGGGTCGACCGGGCCCGGTGGCTACCGGTTCTGGGCCTTCATTTTGGTGAACCGGCCCGACCGGTTCGAGCCCGGTCCAGGCCGGATTTATTTATTTTTTTTTTGAATTTTTTTTAAGTTTTTGGGTTGGATTGGTTATTTTGGGCCATTTGAGGTGGTTTGGGGTGGTTTGGGGTTGAGGGGTATGGATGGACTCGGGCCGGGCCAATCGGCCCGGAACCGGACCGGCTCGCTACTGTGCGGGCCCGGACCGGTGAACCGGTTCGTGCCCGGTTCGGGCCTCCCGGCCCGGTGGTAAAGCGGTTCGGGCCCAGGCCTCCAGTTTAGTGAACCAGCCCGGCCGGGCCGGGCCCGGTTCGGGCCGGGCCCGGTTCGGGCCGGAATTTAATTTTTTTTTTTTTGGAAATTTTTTTAAGTTTTGGGTTGGATTAGGTATTTTGGGCCATTTGAGGTGGTTTGGGGTGGTTTGGGAGGGGTAGGGGGTTAAATAAGAGAAGAAGAAAAAAAAAATTAAAAATCCGGGTGGCCCGGTCTGGCCCGGAACCGGACCTGGAACCGCCCACCACCGGTTCGGGCTCGAGCCTCATTTTTCTGAACTGAGGCCCGGCCGGGCCCAGGCTCGAACCGGAACCGGTCCACCCCTATTGAGGGGGAGGGTAGGGGGTTGATTAGGAAAACCCAAAAAAAAAAAATTATATAGAACCGGAACAGGGCCCGGCCCGAACCGGACCCGGGGTTACCCGGGCCGGTTCCGGGCCTCCCCTACCTTGAACCAAGGCCCAGCCGGTTCAAGGCCCGAACCGGGCCCGGCCCAGAACCGGTCCACCCCTAACTCAAACATCAAACCAAAAACGTAAAACTAGAAAAGAATGGGGCATTGTTTTATACAAACACACAAGTACATAACCCATATGTCATTTTCAACTAGTGCTTCTTCCCAATGGGATCCTGTCTATGTTTTGTTTCTTAAACAAAGATTCATTGGACGTAGGTGTCTGCAGATTCAGACTATCATACAATGATACTGAAATGCATACAGTAGCAAATTGAAATCCACTGTAAAAACTATTTCTGTTTGTTACTATTAGTATCTTGGGGAAGTTGTAGACCCAAAAGCCCAACTAAGTTGGAAGCTGGACCAGGAAGTCCTTGCTGGGATGAAAATGAATCAAGAAGGTTCTTTACAAGGTTGAAATCCACATCCACGGGCCTGAACTCTTCCTCCAACCCCTCTCCTGCAACAGCAGATGTTCCCTATATTGAACCAACATATGCTCATATGGTTAGCAAGCTATTAATTGAAAAATATCATTAATAAAACTACTTTTGACAGTAAAAATTCATAAAGTCTGGATGTGCTACTTGACAGAGGTCATTTAATGAATACTAACTTCGTCCTTCTTGAGAGGGTTTTCATCGGTTCTAGCAAAACTTTTTCCGAGTGAAGTGCCTTTCAGTTCCTCATTCAGAGCATGGGCATAGGACTGCATAAAGGGATCCCCTCCCATGTTATCATTGTCTTCAGCATCACTTTCATCATCAGATTCATCTGCAAGTTAAGAACATCTAATCAAGATTAGTAGTAAACCCAGTTTTTGGAACACAATTTCAAGGATGCACACTGTATACAGTTATATACTTAAATCAAATTACATGTGCATTAAGTCTTTAGTTTTGAAGAATTTTTTTAAATTGTCGCCAAATAGCAGCATGCTCAAAATCCTAATGTATTATGAAGACAATTATAAAAATATTCACACAATTTTAACAAGATGAAACCTCCATATTTTTTGTTAGTGAAGTTCTACCCCACAAATCCATGCATATATAGCACATGTACAAACAGACACATATATAGCTATTGATTGATAATACTGGAACATACCAAATTCCATGTCAGAATTTGATTCTTCTTCAACATCAAACTCACTGCCAGTGCTTTCAGAGGTGTCCTTTCGTCTGGCCAAGGAATCAATTTCTTCCATAAAGCGATCCACATCAAAGTCCACATCTCTTAGGCTTCAAATGAAGAAAGAAAAGAATAAACAACACTGGCTAATTCACCAATTACTGCAGCCATGCAAAAAATATGGTTGGATCCAAAAAACACTACTACATGTTAATAATTAGTAGTCATAATCCTTGCATACTAACATCATTCTTAGCATCAAAAACAATAATTATGGAAACATTGCTTCCACTTGCACCGTTTAATATTTCAGTGGTTCAGTCAAATACCCTTCCTGAACTCTTATGTGGGCATCTTCACGTTCTAATCTCTAGTATGGCCATCTCTTTCCACCCTTAGACAGTTAGATGATCATGTAACCTTTCTCATTCCTACTGTGGTCATCTAATGTGAACCCTATTGTATCAGTCATTTGATATTTTGATCTACTAAATGATACTCCTAAAACAAGCACATAGACACCAATTAATTCAACCAAAGGTACTACTTCATAATGATCTGGAATAGAAAGACAGAGAGCACAAACCAGCTTTCTGGAACCTCTGCTCCTTTGTAGCTTGACCTTTTCTTGACAAATGCTTGCATAGACTCTGAAATATTTTTTAGATCGTAGTCGTCTACGTTGTCTAAATCTTCTGGCTTTTCCTTTGATTTTTGTTTCTTTTTATGTGTTGCATTGTAATCTTCCATCTCCTTCTGCCTCTCTTGAAGAACAGCATTTAGCTCATCTTCCCCACCATAAAGCCACGAGTCGTCATCTGATGGTGGTAGTTCCTGGTTCTTAAAATCATCGACAGAATGAGGAAGAGCAAGAATCTCATCTATACGTCTTATGGGTGCACTCAACATTTCGCTGCATTTTTCAGTAGATCAAAACTTCTGACATGACAAAAGGAAAATATGTGGGAAAAGAAAGGCATCAAAGAGCAAGTGTTGATAGCAACAACAAAAACATAAGGGTCTGCTTGGAAACCAGAACATGCTAGAAAAAGAAAATTGGAGAAAAATAGATGGGATTGGGAAGTAAGATTGGGGGATTACCGGATTAAAAAAATGGTTCAAACTCAAGAAATCAATATAAGGATTTCCTCCAACCGTTTTATTTATATATATTTTATCAGGCTATGAGAATCAAATACATTCATAGATGTCATAATATAAAAAGTTTCCATCGATTCATAGACTCCAAGCTAAAACCCAAATATAAAAAGTAAAAACCAAGAATTAATTCCACTTTTGGTCCTACAAGTTTGATACAATTTTAAAATTTAGTTCTTGTGTTTCACTTTGTCCACTTTTGATACTTGACTAATGTTTCTTGACCATTAATGGTCCTTCTGTCCAATTTTCTATCGCCTCTCCAGAGATTTTAATAAACAAAAATATTGACGGAAGGACTATATGTCTATATATGGCTGAAATGCAATAGTAAGGTGCCAAAAGTGATCAAAGTCAAAGACAAGGACGGATGGACCAATAGTGAAATGGGTGCGAATGTGCGATACTCATAGGAGTATAGGACCTAAAGTGGAATTTATTCTTAAAATTAATAACCATAGAGTTATTTTCTTTCCCCTAGAGTTTCAGCGTTCAAAACATAGCCTTAAACCTTAGTGATAAGAAAGTGAGAAAATTTGAGGAATCAGAATAGTGCACTGGACAACAAGGAATGAAATGGTCTTTAATGAATGTCAAGGTGCACGAGTGAAGTGCTTAAAACATTCCTAGGAAAAGGAAGACAAGGAAAATAAAACCATGTGACCGTAAATCATATAGCAGTTAAAATTTATTTCTTAGGATAAATGTACTAGGAAATATAAGGAACAGCTCAAAATCATCATCCATATAACTTGTGACTCATTAAAATCAAGGTTTGATCCCATAAGTAAAGTACTAGTTCACACTAATAATTAATATGGTCATGATATCTTGTAATCTCACACCTTTCTTAGCGTAAAAAACAAAATTTACTGAGACAGAGCTTCCGCTTCCAGCTTTGATTATTTCAGCAATTCATTTAAATATGATCCCTTTATAGTACTCTAATGATCATGGTGTGCAGTAAACACATTAGAATCAGTAAAACATGTCTACCGAGTAGAGTATTATCTATTCATCATTGGTCAAATAGTTTAACAGCCAAATAGTGCACACTTAAATAAAACAAATTGCATGAACCTTGTTTTGGCTTGCAATGAGCTATTTCTGTAGTATTCCTCTGCATTCTGCATCAATCTCTTGAACTCCTGTGACCCAGGAAGCAACCCTTGAAAATACCCACTATTTTCCAGACTCTTCTTGAAAGCCTCCCATGTACTCCCTTTCCCCTCCATTCCCTGTGTCTTCCTTAGCTGGTACATCATCTCAAAACCACATGCAATCTTCACCCCCAACTCGGCCTCCATATATGATCCCATGTCAGTTCTAGGTGGCAATGGCGGGTAGCATTTTGGGGCTTGAAATGTTTGCTGCACCAATTGGGCATACATTGCCCTAGACATCCGTGTAACCACTTCCACAAGCTCTTCTCCACTTCCATTACTCAGAAACCTCTCCATCTTTGCCGCATACTTCATAGTATCAATATCTCTATCATAAAATCCCTCCACGGAAAGTGAAACCAAGCATGGCTCGTGTTTCAACACTTGTGCCACAGAAACCGGGACTCTAACCCTCACCCTGTGCACATTCTTCTCCGCTCTCAAAGGGTATTGCTTTAACCTATTCTCCAATTGAACCTGAGCAGGCTCAGGGGCTTCGGTCTTTCCCTCTCTGCCGTCTTTCAAAACCCTTAGCGCGTCAAGAAGGGTCGGAGTGTCGTGGAAGATGGACTTCGGAATAATGTGAAGACGACCAGTGCGGATAAAAACGCGATTCGTGGCGCTGTCGGGGTTGAGCCACCGCGGTAGGTGGAATGCAGTTTCGATGAGAAGGAACTCGCCGTCGCTGTCCCAAACGCGAATTGATAAGTTCGGGAAGCTCCTGGAAATCTCAAAAAGGAGGAATACCACAAACCATTCATCTTCTAGGTTATCGCCGAAGCGGAGTTTGCCGCCGAGATGGGGCGGGGAAGTAGTGGAGAGGCTAAGATTAAAGGGCTCGTGTTGCCATATGTAGTTAGAGGTGTAAGGAGATATGATTTGGATGATCTGGAGGTGAAGAGCTTGAAGCTCGGAGGTGGTCGTAGTGGACGTACAAGAATGTACAGAGAAGTCCGGAAAAATGGAGAAGAAAACTGTGTCTTCGGAAGGACGGAGGTTTTTGTGGGAGAAAATGTTAGATGAGGTAGCAGCGGAAGGGTCCAGCTCCGCCATTGTATTGGTGGCGTAGATAGCGTGAAGGAAGGGTGTAGACTTAAGGCGCCGAGCAACGCCAAATAGTAGTAAGTCTATATTGTTACTAGTAGTAACAATATAGAAATAAGCACCCGCACGGTCGCACTGTACAAGTAACTTAGGGGTGTCCCAAATAGACCTGTCAATGGGTCGGGTCCGGGTCGGAACGTAGTGTTCCAGACCCGGACCCGCTAAGTAAATAAAGGACCCGGACCCGACCCGTTTACCCGGCGGGTCTAAAAATTTGGACCCGGACCCGGACCCAACGGGTCTCGGAACCGGGTCGGGTAGACCCGCCAAGTATAATATGCACAACAGTATATAACTTTTTTTTGACAGAACATTATATAATTTTTTAAAAATAGCAAAACATGTATATGAAATGTAAATCAAAGTGCACAAATTTAAAAGCAAAATATATCTTCACTTTTAAAAAAAAAATCAAGGATTATCATAGAAAATTAGTACTTTTATTCAATAAAATATCGGTTCTTGTAGATGCGTACAATTCCGCACTTTGTGTCACTTTGTGTACTATTATATTATCACTTGTACATTAGGTATGTATTAATTCGTTTCTTTTTAATCAAAGAATTAAAACTAATCACTTTATATATACATATATATTAGTTTGTATTTTTATTTGAAGTATTATAACTAATCTCTTTATGTATTAGTGTGTGTATATATACTAATAAGACATTTTAAACGGGTTCGGGTCCTTAACGGGTCGGAATCATAAGTACCATACCCGACCCGTTTATTAAAAGTACTAACGGGTCCGGGTTCGGGTCCGGGTAAACGGAATAAAATAAGGACCCATACCCGTTAAAAACAACCGGGTCCGGGTCGGGTCCGGGTCTAGACCCGACCCATTGACAGGCCTAGTCCCAAATTTAGATTTTAAAGGATTTTAAAAGATTGTATATTCCATAGATTTTGAAAGATTTTAGCAGATTCCATTTGAGTTTAATGGATTTTAAAATCTAAAGTTTATGGATTCTAATTGATTTCTAGGGTTTTGAAATCTACATAGACATCGGCTCAAACGGCAATTGATGAAGCATCGGCTCAGTTGATGAAACCCAAACAATACTCTCTCCACTCAAATACCAGCCTATTGGATCTTATCTTTGTTTCTTACCCTTAAATTCAAGCACGGATTGAGTAATAGTGTATAACCCACAGAAAACTGAAGAAAGAAGAAAGAAGAAACAGAAAGAGAGGAAGGAGCTGGACATGGTAGAGAAAAATGGCAGGATTTGGACTTTCATCAATTGCGGCTTTGTTTCGTCTACTAGGGCAGGGCTAGTTTTCCTTGTGCGCTTCTGATATATTACGGCCATCCAACTTCCTGACTTTGTTTTGCTCGCGAAGGGAAATCCGTGGAAATCTGAAGGGGAGAGCAGAGAGTTTCGGTGTATTCTTTTCTTTGTATTCCAGCTTTGGAAATCCACGGGAATCCTTAGCAATCCAGAGTTAAAGAATCCACAGACATTTTGAGGACACCAGTATTTTAGCAGACTCCACACAAATCCAAATTCAGGACACCCAAATTCAGATGGAATTCTAAATTCCTTTAAAATCTGTTGGAATCCATATTGGGGACACCCCTGTTAGTTGTAGTTGTACGAAATTTGGATAATGAACAAGGTTTGAATTCCTGCGATTATCGATGAAGATCACATAATCTGAAATAAGGTTAGATTTCTGGTGTGCACGGGTATATGGTCTATTGTCACTCTGCTGACTGAATCACCGTGACTTACATCCTCCCATTTGCTCTGTCGGGTCGGGGCGTGGGGGGCACTTGGGGTTGGCGATTCAACCTTTTGGACAATATAGAAATACGTAGTGTAAGCAATTTACAAAGGGTATGGATCGGGTATCGGTATCGGATACGTATCGAATACGCGAATACAGCATCGGGGTGAAGTATCGGTGCAGCATAGGTGTAAGCTACTCCGTATACAAAAACCGCCTCACAATACATAGGATGTTGTTAATTGTAGTGATAATTTCAGTTTGCACCTCATTATTATCTAAGTTAGACTTTGCACGTATGTGCTACGTACTAAAAAAGACAATTAAGGAGTAATTTGAGTTTGCACCCCATATTATTGTCTAAAGAGGTAATTCCCTAAACAGGACTAAATCAATGTTCAAATGCATAAATAAGACTCTCATATTTTACAGGACCATAAATCAGCTGAGTAGACAAAATTATTCTTAATGAAGTTACACGTTAAATACGGAATAGAAAAAATAAAATCGTCTCGCCCCAGCTGCCTTCTATGATGCACATAGCGTGAACACCAACCCTTCGACACCTTCAACATCTTCGACACCTTCAACACCTTCCGTTCATGGCCGCCGCTGTCAGACCGCCGCCGTAGTCACCGCCGAGATTGACGCAGCACACCTCCGGCGAGTCACGACTTACCCCTTCCTACAGTGAGAATGTAGCCATAGCTAAATTCCTCTGTGGAGATGATCTCTTAGTCACAGCTGCCCCTCTGGAGTGTATGGTATCAATTTCAGGCAAAAAATGTAATTATGATAACATCAATGACAAAAAAAATGGCATTTCTTTGTGCAAAAACATGGAAGTTTCAGATTACAAATTACTTTGTATGACATTTTCACATTTTAGAGTTGGAATTGTGAAATAGTAGAAGAAAAGTGAAGAAGCAATGTTGCCGAAAAATTCAATTCAATGTCATAAAAATGCCAAAACTTGTGATAATGTAAAAAATCTGGCATTTTCAAAGATGCATATTTCCATCTCCATTTATAAATGCCATAAATTTGGCATTTCTTACAAGCGAATAAAGATACACGATAATAACATTCAGATATGAATTTATTTGAAGAAGAGCTTCAAAATTTCATACCCATATGTTTTGAGTTCAAAAGTTTCAAACGAAAAATAAAATTTCCATTGAAAATTGAAATAATATTCCAATAAATCAACAACAAATAATCATAAATGCAAGATGAGCAAAGAATAGAAGAGGAGGAAGAAGTAGAAGGGGAGAAGGAAAAGAAGGAAGAGAAAGAGAAGGAGGAGGCGTGGATTACATGTGGTGAGGCAGGCCGGCGTGGTGCGCGGAGGGTTGAAGAGAATCTTCGTACTCCATGGGAGTCGAGAGAGGCCGGAGTTTGCCGATGCCAAAAAGAAATGTAGATCGAGAAGTTTCGTTGATGCGGAAGACAGATAAATGGAGTTTTATAATAGCAGGGGTATATTGGTTATAAAGAGTCCCATTTACGTAAAATAAAAATTAACTCTCATTTAGGAATTTCAATGATGATTCGGTCCTATTTAGGGGTAAAAAGTCTTGTCTTAATTGGACTTTGCACCCCGTAATATATTTAATTTAATGCCCCCCTTCTTTTTTCAAAAATAAATACTAATTAAAGATAATTTCGATAGTATATTAAAATAAAAGGCAAAGTTTTTCATTAAACGTACCTGTTTCTAGAAATACAAGTATTAAGTGCAACATAACACACTCATTTGAATGCAAATGTGGATTGTTTTATACATTTAATGACACAAGAGTTGGCTTTTCGTAGTTATAGTGAACAATAAAGTATTGAATTTAGTGAATATGTTGTCACATTTCTTGCAACAAAAAGATCAAAACATTCTCGAAACTGTGTTGGGTTCCTCCTTAGTGGAGAAATTCATGAGAATTTTAAAATTTTCAGATATTTTAAGATTCTCTATATATGTGCAGAGAAGTATTGAATGTTCAAGAATAATAATGTGGAGTTTTCTAGAAAAGTGTGGAACTCACTAAAATTGTGTGGAAGGTGTGGAAGTCTCTAGAACATTTTGAAGAATCATGGAATTCTCTAAATTGTGGAGTTCTTTATAAAAAAAAATCCTTGAGAACCTTAGAAGAGCTCTTGAGTGAGTGAAAGTGAGAGTTTCATTCACAGAGAGTGAGAGCCTTCTTGTGATTGAGAGAAGAATGCTCAAAGATATCACTTGATGCAGTGTATGTGATTAAGATAAAGTGGAGTAGTCTTATATACAAAGAGTGAGTGAGGGTAATACAAAGTGAGATATGGTCAGATTGAGTCTTTGTATTATGAGTATGTGGATAAGTTTACAAGAGTCTATGAGCTCGTGATCCTGGAAAAGGTTCGGGATCATGTTTTCCCAACCTGAACAAATTAAAACTCGTATGATTGACCTTACCAGATTATAGATATGAGTCAAGTAATATATAATGAACTAACTTGTGCTAACACATTTTGCTTTTATTGTTTTTATTAAAACATTTTGAACAAGTTAAAACTCGTATGATTCATCTATCCAGATTATAGATATGAGCTAAGCAGTATGTAATGAACTAATTTGTTCTAACGTATTACACTTTTATTGTTTTTATTATATTTTGAGCAAATACACAATAATTCTCTGGCTTCGCTACTGGTTCTTCTGCATGTTGTTTTATGTGAATTTTAAAATTGTTGAAGTCTTGTGGCAAGAGGTAGGTTAGACCTATTATCTGTAAGAGTATGTTTGACATAACTAGCTAAAAAGTTACTTTTATGAGTTTTGTAGTAACTCTAAGTTTTAGTGAATGAGAAGATCTTTAAAAAAGGTACTACCCCTGTCCCCCTAATATTGGGACGGGAGGGATGATGTGGTTTTTAAGAAAAGTAGAATTATGTGGTTGATAATGAATTGATAAAGTGAGAATAAAGTAAGAATAAATTAGAGTCACACAAATCTTATCAAATATGGTATGAGACAATAATAGAGACATCCAAAAAAGGAAAAATGGGACAATTATAGGGGGCCGGAGGAGTAGAAGTTGTTTGATAAAAAGCTGACGGTTTGACTTAGATATGTTTGGTATACAAGCTGTTGGGACTAATTAATGATAGACGCTACATACTTATCTGAGATGCCCAACATCTAAAAAAAAGATCTTTTACTAGTATTTTTTAAAAAGCTCTCACAAATTGGCATGCCAAACATACAACTAGCTAGAAGCTCTTAAAGATTTTAAATAGTACAAAAGTTATAAGACA